ATTATTATATTATTATTATTATTATTATTATTATTATTATTATTATTATTATTATTATTATTATTATTATATTATTATTACTATTATTATTATTATTATTATTATTATTATATTACTATTATTATTATTGTTATCCATATTACTATTCGTATTATTATTATCCCTATTTGTAGTAGTGGAAGCAATCAAACTAAAAAAATCATATCCGTTTTTCGCACCAAAACAAGTATCAATGCAAGAAATAGCAATTTTACTTAGTTTATATATATATATACATGGATATATGTTTATGAGTAGATAGATAAATAATATATTATGCATAATTTAGATATATCAATAACTGATATGTATATATGTATATAACTGAAAGGCCATTAAATTATTCTTTTTTTAAAGAAGAAAATTAATGAGAAAATATAATTAACAAGTAATTAATAATTATTAAACAATGAAATGAATCACAGGGAAACATTTTCATTCTTATTCAGCAAATTATATTTAATGAAATGATATTTAATTAAAACTGAATAGATACTAAATTTCACATTACTTCATTTAATTACCATTAATTTAACAGTTTTTTAAAATAAAAAAAAAACGAACAATTTAAGATCTTAACATATAAACTACAAAATTAAAAAAAAAGAAAAAAAATTCACTATAAATTTATGATATTTGTAATTTTGTTTTTTCATAATAATTTTTCTTTTTTTTTTCAATTCATTCATTATCTTCCTGTGTTACACCAAATTTGTAACGAAGTGTCGCATGAAGACGACAAAAATCAGGCTCATCATGCGCATCTTCCTCATCACAAAAGCGCGCATGTTGTGGCCAACCATGTGCATAAGTTTGAATTTCACGTGCGCAATGTCTTTGTTCATTATCACTATCAAAATCTCTCCTGTAATTAGAAAAAAAAAAATCAAATTTTATTCATATTAAAAAATGATATTAAAAATATTCAATGATTTTTGACATTAATGTAAGTAATAAATGGGGGGGAAGAGGTGGGGAAAAAAAAAAGAAATTGCAATCATTTTGCTTTTTTCCTTTTTGATTAAATTATGAATTTTAAAAAGTAAATTAGAATTTTTTGCAAAACTTTTTCATATGGATTATTTTAATTTTAATAGCTTTTCATTTCGTTTCCTTTCTTTGCCTTTCCTTTAGTTCAAATCTTTATTTGAATAAATTAAATAACTTGCCAAAGGTAAACGAAAAAAAAATATCTGAAAATTTTTCCAGAATATTAAGAAAGGAAAAAAATTCTCAAATAAGTTGTTGTTGTTTTTTTTTTGTGAAATTGTCATTTTTCTTTTTTGAAATTGTCAAAATATATATATATGAATTTTAAGAGAATAAATGAAATTAAATTAATATTTTAAGTTTGTGTTAATATTTTCAAAAAATTAAAAATTTGAAAAATTCATTCAATCAATTGACGATAAATTTAAAATATGAAATAATTTTGTTAATTTTAACGGAAGACAAACCAGCCAAAGAAACTTTTGACAGCACATACTGGACATTTCACCAAGAAATCTTTTGGACGAAGTATTCTACCCAGATGTTCGGTGATATTTATTGCAGGTGCCTAAATATTAATTGGTAATATGGTAGAAAAAAATTAGTAGCAAATGTTTAGCAAGTAATTTTCATCTAATTTATATTTAATTACTTGATTAATTACCCTTTCAATCAATTATTTTGCAAATAATTTTTCAATAATTATCATTATTCTAAAAGTCATATTAAAATTTCATTATATTTTCATATATTTCATTCCAAGTTGAATTAATCATTTCTTGTATTAAATATATGTTATCTTATACTGTGCCAATTTTTGCATTGTATATTATTAATTTAAATTAATAAATTTGAAATTCTCTTGCAATTTTGACCGAACAATAAATTATTTTTTGCAATTTGTATATGGAAATTTTACAATAATTTTTAAATACATTCAAAAATATGTCAAAGTATTTATTAATTAATATAAATTAATTTGCTACATTTAATATTAAAAAAAAAACTGGTTGATTTAATTCGATAATTTAAATATTATTGCTTAATTACTATTAATAATAAGCATTATATCATTTCATTTTTTTTTTTTTTTTTGATTTAGAACAAAGATAGAATAAAAAGAAAAAAGAAAATAATATACGAACAATAATTGGCAATGATTGTGTAATATAATTATAAAGTCTTATACGATTTACGCCTGCACATTGCGAGAAGTTTTTCAATCTTGTATAATTAAATTTCAATGTATTATTTGATAAACATGGTATCTGAAATATTTAATATTTATTTATTAATTAGTATTAATTGGAATATTTTATTTGAATTTATTGAAATAATCTTATTGTAAACTTTTTCTTTTCCTTTTTTTTNTTTTTTT